TCTGTCAGTCATCAATTGACTGTTCTAGAACATGCAAATAGTAAGATTATAGCAGTTAACATGATTTACACACAGTTTTTTGGACTGGCTTCTGGTATTGCCATTTTAAGTATGGCGCTATCTCCTGCTTGTTTTTTCCCAAGTGAAAAAGTGCCTGTGACAGGCAGCCCCCCAGATGCCTCCAATGACCCCTGTCTTTTTGTAGCCGTGCCTATGTGCAGTGTCCATCCCCATTTGATTAAGCAGATATGTAACCAATGAGATACAAAGGGCATGTTATTTTAGTCTAGTTCACACCTGCCATAATAGTTTCTATTGGCAATTTTTCCAACTGTTCATTCTAGAGAAAGTCAGAGAAATAATGTGAGAACACTCAAGCAGTCCCAGCATGATGAGAAACGGACACTTTCTGCTGAAAGCTGGCTCTAACTGCTTAGGAATGTGAGTGAGCCTCCTTGAAAGCCAACTGCTCTGGTTCCAGCCTACTCACCAGGTGATGAATCCCAGGACAATGACTTTACTGCACCCTCTGAACCACCCTTGAGCAAGAACTAGCCACTCCTGGTTCCTTGGCCCATAAAAACTCTATAAATTAGTAAAAGCCTGTTGTTTCAAACTGCTGATTTGGGTAGGGCAATTTGCTACATAGCGGCAGACAAGGATCACACTCTGGAAGTTGAATTCAGAGGTTACATTGCAGTTATGAGGTTGAAGATGCAATTTCTAGGTGCACTCACTCTCCAGCATCACTAGATAAGCAAGTAAAAAACGTTGTTTGACCATTAAGGCAGCTATCACATTGAACATAACACTTAGGATAGGACTTTTTCTTCATTTATCTGTCATGTGCATCATATGTTGCCCAGGTTTGTCTTGAACTAGTGATTCAAGCTCAAATAAACCTCTCCCCTCCGCATCCTGAGTAGCTGGGATTGCAGCTATATGTCACTGTTCAAATCTGGTTAGATTGTTATTTCAAAAACGTTGTGACTTTTTCCAGGCATGGTGGCACACTCCCTAACACTCAGGAGGCAAAGACAGGGTGAGCTCCGTGAGTTCAAGCCCAGCCTGCTCTATACAGAGAGTTTTAGGCCAGCCAGAGCTACAAAGTGAAAACTTGTATCAAAAGAAGTAAAACAAGATTCTTTGATTTTATAGTCTAGGCCTCTTTTTTGAACTTTTGTGTATGATAATCACCAACATTGACTTGTGACGTTCAAGTTACTAAGATGAGACTATAGATAGTACTTTTACAAATTATGTGCTTTTCCCCCTACACTTAGAATTCAAAAAGAATCATTTATCTCTTAGAAGCTAAAGGAAATTTTATCATGCAACCCCCTTAGCTAGGACATTTGGGTTGAGTTCCTATTGACAATTTTCTTCAATCCCTTCACTGCATTAGTCTATCTAGATTTTCTGCTTGAATCAACTTTTCAGGTCTGCTAGACCTTAAAGTCAATTAGGAAGTGTTTATGAAATTATCTTTCATATTATTAACCTATAGTTTTCCTTTTGTTGTGAGTTTTATAGTTTTCACAAATCTAGTTGAAATAAGATGAATTAGGAGGAATGGCTGTTTAGTGTGCGTATGTGTGTGTGTGTGTTTCATATAAGTGCGGTTCCCAAGGTGGTCAGAAGAGGGTGACAGATACCCTGGGGCTGGAATTATAGTTGTTTGTGAGCCCAATGTGGGCGCTGGGAAATGAACACTGTTCCTTTGGGAAAGCAACAATCACTCTTAAGAACTGAGCCAGCTCTTCAGTTCCCCTGGAGGTGACAACTGCCTGATGCATGCTCTATCGTAAGGCCTACTCCAGGGTAATGACTTGTCTACTTTACCTAAATGATGATATAGTCAATATACAGTAGAAAGACTCTAAGAAATTAATCAGTAGAACACTAGGAAAACCTTGAATCTAAGTTATTAAAGAAACACGCTCATACATTTTGCTTGTCATTCTCAAAGAAATAATGCTTTATTACTGTTAGTTAAAGCAAGTTATATAGGAACATGGAGGCGCTGGCAAAGGGATTATATGCATGATGGTTGTCATGCTTGCTAGCATGAGGTAGCAAAGTAAAAGGAAAGTTGAATGTATTAACAGGGATTTAGCAAGAATTTTCATTTTATGGTACTTCTCTTTATCCATGGGGAGTTCTAAGAACCGTATGAATGCCAGAAACCACAGAGGGACCAAATTCTGAAGTTATTATATGTTCCTTACATGCACATGCTATGATAAAATTTAACTTATAAGTTAGGCGCAGTGAAACATTAATGATGGCTAATAATAGAATATGCATGGCAATGCACTGTAACAGAAGTTATGTGGAGGTGACCTATGTATGTATATATATATGCATGCATGCACATATATAAATATATGTTGAAATTTTAAAAAGTGGCCTATGAGAGAAAGTCACCATGCAACAGAGCTTGGGGTGGAGGGGTTTTTTATTGGGGGAAATTGAATTGGGAAAAGAAGGGGGAGGGGGAGACTGGTCTCTGGGAACAGGAGCAGCAGAAGAGGCGAGAGAGGGGGGAAGGAGGAGGGAGGAGTAGGCAGGGCCCTTTTAAAAGGAAACATTGTGAATGTGCACAGTTGGTGCTCTTAGAGGCTGCAGTTAAGGGCATATCCTGTTAGAACCCCAAGGACAGGCCAGTACAGATGCCTGAATACAGATGCCCAAATACTAACACTGTATGCATAATCTTTTAGTACCTCTTTGTGGTTTATACTCAGCCTTTTTGTGATGGTATGCGCTAATACAATGTTTGTGTGATAAGATGAAATAATATGAAAGATACACACATTGTGATGTTAGGTGACTATACATGGGTTATATGGTCACAAGTACTATGAAACAGCAGCTGTCTCAGAGCAGAGATGACTACAGAGTGATTAGCAGGAGGGTAACATATATAGTGTGGATGCACTGAGTACAGAAATATGTCCATACTTTGGGTGGAATAAGGCGGGATAGTGTGAGATGTCATTGTGCTACTCTGAATACCATACACTTCAAAACTTATGAATTGTTTATCCATAGAATTTTCCGTTTAGTGTTAAGATCACTGGACCACAGGCAACTGAAACTATAGAAAGCCAAGGCATGGATAAAGGGTAATTACTGCATTCCTTCATTGGAATAGAGGCGCTTGCCCTCTCCTGTCCTAGTGGGATTCTACCCACAACGCCATGCTGGCCACAGTTTCTCTTCCCACTCATTATTCTCTCTGACATCTGAGCTGATGTGAAATAAAGGTTTCCCTTGGCCTCCGACGTTTAGAGCTATTCTTTATGGGATGGCTTGAACTAACTGAACTCTGCTGCTTGCTCAGCACTTGCAACTACATTCAGAGAGAGGGTTTTGATGGTCGGTCCAAGTTTTCCCTTTCTTAAGACATCTCTTAAAACTTCTACCTAAGGAGAGGTTCTGTTTAGACATGCATTTTGACCTCACACTCTTGTAATTAATCAGCACTTGGAGAAGCCTTTGCTTCGCTGCTACATTTTATCCCAGCACGTGAAATTCCACATGAGCTTCCTGGTGGACCACACACTGCAGAGACCCCTGCAAGGGGAGGTTCTTCTCAATCTTGTCCTGTGGCAACTCCTTCCCCTACCAAATTAGAAGTCAAGAGAGACTGTTACCTTCCCAGTGGCTGGGGACATTGAAGGATGTGCCACTGTTTCTTAAGAGAGGTCAGAACTTCAGAGCCTGGACTTTCTGGGGGGATATGTTTTTGAAGGCTCCCTCCCTCTATCTCTCCATCCCTCCATCCCTCCCCCCCTCTCTTGAAGATTTTGTTGACATATCCAGATTTCTGCTCATACCTGCAGAGAAACTGAAACACCTCCTCATTAGCTGAGTGTTCTCCTAAGCCCATGAGTCATGGCAGTCTCTGCTTATGACTCCCGGGACCATATAACAATTTTCACCTTTACCATTCTACATCAGCAGATGGTTTAAAAAAAAGTATCAGCAATGCAAGGGCATTATCATACCACATTAAACTATAACTAAAAGTGTGAGTCTCTTCCATTGGAAGAGCTTTCGATGCTGACACTTGGCATCAGGCACGAGGCAGGGCTCAGGGCCTCTGTTTTCTTCGTTGTCCTGTGACCATCAGCCTGGCTGATGTGGTTTTGGAGGAGCTGTCCCTTTTAAGAAGGCTTCCCCTGCAAACTGTGTTATGTAGTTTCTCTCTGCATTTCCTTGTTTGGGTTCAAATCACCACCCCATTATGGGCTATTAACATATTTAGTTGTTAATGAATATGTCCTTAGAGATGACCCTGTGAAGGGCTCTCCAAATCACAGGGAAACTAATTAGGAAGGGTGCCCTATATGTCACCAAAGCAGAGGTCAGGACTTTGATTCCATTCCAGCCTCCATCACTGTAGGACAAGTGTCCTTGGGATTGTGAGGGGTGGGGGCATTGACCTCCTCCCGGCTTCCATCATGGTAAAATGGGATGGTAATTATAATACCTATCCAGTTTGCTTTTTAAAATGTCAAAAGGCATAACATACTCAAATGTGTTTTAGGAAGTAAAAATGTCAGAGGGTGTTAGAAAGTCTTGCTCCCTCTGCCCTTGCAGAGGCATGTAAAAGCCTACAGCCATTGTTTATGGAGATTCTGAGCTTGGAGACAGCTCCAGAGGTCATCACAGCCAGGCCACCAGCATCACTGGTGTAACAGCTACTGCTGCCCCCATCCCGCGTTCCGATATCTTCTATTGGTGTGAACTCGCACTGTTGCCTGTTGCTTAGAAAATGTAGTTGTTAAGATGTTTTCTTTAGCTCTAGGCTTCCTGGCTGCTCTGAAATGATGCTTCTGCTGTGCCGAACTGTGATGTCACAGACACAAAGTCTCCAGAGACTGTGGCCTCTCCAAACCTCTGACACCATGAGCCCAAACAAGTCTTTCCCCATTTAAAGATGGTTTATCTTGGATTCTTGTTAGGGAAACAGAAAGTCGACTAGCAGGGGATGATGCCAGTAGGGGAGGAGAGAGGCTTCCTTTATCTTGGGGACTTTAATCCAAGACACCATGCTGCTGACCCCAACTGCAAGTGGGGGCACCTCAGCAGCCTCGCCGGTTACTTCACATTGTGCTTGTGTCATTCTGCATGGTCCAACACCGGTTAACCTTAGAACCCATGGCTAGGTGAGCTTTCTTCCCCCTCACCTCCCACTCCTCACCCCCCACCCCCTCCCTGGCCCGGCCATAGCAGCATCCTGTGTCTGCTTGCAAGCCTCTCAGATTCCTCCACCAAGAGAAGCTCCTGCAGTTGCTATTGGTCTGGGAAGCTGCTTCCACAGCTCTACAGGAGGACAAAGACAATCTCAGATCTTGAAGCTTCTTCATATTGAGGTGTGAACTTGCTTGGGAACTCTGAACACAGACTTTACTGTACCCGAATCGAGTAGCACATGCGTTGATCCCTGCCTGGAGAAGGACGAGACTCAAGAGTAGAAACATTTCTGGGGGGTGGGGGAGCATACAGAGGTTTGGAGCTCGGCTCCACCACGCCGCGCCTCGTACTCACTATTCACTTACTAATTAATGATGTGTTTTCCATCCACTGAGTGTCAGACAAGGGGCCTGAACATGGGGCTACCGCATTAAGTAATGGCTGAGAAGATCACTATGGCAGCTTGGGGTGATGGAAGGAGACATCAGGTTCACGGGCACGGGCTGCAGGGTGTGGGATATCTGGGTGGGTATGATGCACATGGCCTGTGGATACTGCCATGGCGTGGGTGAGGCAGATTCGGTGCCATCACATCTCTCACCGGGAAAAGGCTTTCTGAACCCTGCAGTGTGGCTCCATAGTGATGCCTGCCTGCGGTTTACTTACTGATCATCTGTGACTGGAAATGTCAATCCCGGCACGCGGGGAGTATGGCTTCCTTCCTTTGTTCCTGCCTCTTCTCAAGAAGGAGCCTGAGTAGAGAGAAAAAACAGCCAGAAACGCTTGTGTTAATTTTCCTCCAGCCACAAGACAAGAAACACTTTGACATCACCTGAATTAATAAGTTTGAATAAAACACTTGCTACAAACACAGAAGTACCTGTTGGCAAAATTCACACCATGCTTCAAAATTAATTTCCAAGCACGCTGGCATTCACCTTTGCCTTAGAAAGAGGAAAATGGCCTTCCTTTTCATTGTTTAATTTTATTTGACTATTACAGGGGGAAATTAGAGTGTATGGAATATAGAAATTGAATTGGAATCCAGCACAATGAGCTTCTCTTCCCAGAAAGTCAAATGCTGTTTGCATTTAAGCTGACGTGTTCCTTTGGGATTTGTATAAAGATTTTATCCTTTCTTCCTCGTATACTCCTCAAATTAAATCGTCGAGACTTAATTTGACTTCAGTCATTTTCTCTTTGTACAGACGGGCTACTCCAGTAATCAGGCTCTCCAAGACCAAAGTGGGTCATGCATTTCCAAAGACAGTTTAGAGTTCACAAAGAATGACTAGAAGTTCCTGAAAAAAATAACAACCAGGCATTTGATGATGGCGGCGAAAATCTGATTCTGCCTAAAGTGGTACATGAGCCACCGGGTTTAGAAACTAGGGTCCATTGATTTATTACTTTAGAAAGTCCTCTGGCTGTTTAGTTAGCTTTACATCAATTTCTACCTTTTTCCTGATTACAATAAATTATTCTAAATATGTATGGAGAGGGAGCTGGCTTACTATGCAGTAGGACTACGGAGGAAAACCCAGCAGAATTCACTCCCTGGCCTGGTTGGACCACAGTGTCTTCTAAGACAGAGTTTTTAGCTACCAATAATTAGTGTGTGTCAAATAGAAACACAGATAGTCATCAATTCAGTGCAGGCATTTTGTGAGATGCTGTCACCATGGAGGTAAAACCACACTCAACTCCAAATGCAACAAAGACATGGAGGGTCTACATAAAAAAAAGGGGGGGAGGGTCCAGTGGATGCGATGTCAGAAGGGGAGACATCAAAAGCAGGGAATTCGTGGGGCTGGAGGTTAAGGGCACTGTTGCTCTTAAAGAGAACCTGGGTTCAATTCCCAGAACCCACATGACATCTCACAGCCATCTGTAACGCCAGTTCCAAGGGATCTGACCCTGTCTGTTGGGCTCCACGGGCATTGCATACATGTGGTGTGCATATATGTGTATGATTCAGGCACACACGCACACATACGTATTTTTATTAAGAATTAAATAAAATAGATGCTGGTTTGAAACCCGTATTTGTGGCAGCTATTCCTCTCATGACCTGGTCAGAGCTGTAGACCATAGGACATTACTTTTCTTGAGGAGGAGCGGGACCGAGAGCCAAGCTCATGACTACACAGAGGAGAATTCCCCTGGCCATCCTGGTAGACCTTGTGATGAGATGTGTCACTTATGAGCTATTGGAATAACAGTGAGGAAGGTCAAACTGCCCCAGTCAATTGTGTTGTCATATTTGTGGATATTTTAAGCTCACCATGTCCAAATTTGCTGTCATTTCTCTCTCTTAGGCTAAATATTGAACTTAGTGTCTCAGGTTAAAAAAAAAACTGGATTGTTCTATTCTATTTACTGATTAAAGACTGAAATTCCTGTCTTGGGGCAATTTCTATCATATTTAGTAAATAGGCTGACTGTTAGATTTTTCTTCCTAAGCTAAACTTTAATGACTTAAACAACTAATTGTTATTACGAGTTTATCATGTTCTGGGTGCGAGGATTTAGTGTGTGTGTGTATGTGTGTGTTTGTGGTGTGTGTCTGTGTTGTTTGTATGTTGTATATATGTGTGTTTTGTGTGTGTGGCCTGTGGTATATGGTGTATGTATGTGTGTGGTATGTATGTCTGTGTTGTTTGTGTATTGTGTGTATGTGTGTGGTATATGTTGCTGTGTACATGTAGTGTGTGTGGTATATGTTGCGTGTGTGTGGTGTGTCTGTGTCATTTGTTTGTTGTGTGTATTCGTGGGGAGTGTATGCTGTGTATGGTGTGTGTGTGTTGTGTGTGTGTGGTATATGTGTGGTGTGTATGTGGCTTACAGTATGCGTTGTGTGTGGTATATGTGTGCTGTGTGTGTGGCATGTGGTATGTGTTGTGTGTGTCTCTGTGTGTCGTATGTGGTGTGTGTGTGTGGCATGTGGTGTGTGTGTGTGGTATGTGGTGTGTGTGTGTGTGTGTGGTATGTGGTTTCTGTGTGTGTGTGTGTATGTGTGTGGTATGTGGTTGTATGTGTGTGTGTGTGCGTGCTCGATGAGAATGAAATGACAGTGATAAAAGCTGTGAAGAGAAACGATACAAAAAGGAGTGCAGAACAGAGGAAGTGACCTTTGAACCAAGACCTGAGTGAGAAGAAAGGGGAAGAGCCCAGGCACGGATGGCCACAATGATTTGCATTTCTTCTCACTGTAAGACAGACTGTTTTGTACTCTGTTTGATCAGGTCACTGGATTTCTCAGACTATCTGTTAGTCCTCGGGTCCTCCACAGAGCACGTGACACACCAGTCATTTGGTACTGAGGACAGTCAGTCTCAGCCTCGGTTTGTCACTTAGGCTTCCAACTTCCCCTTTTGTCCCTGCCTCTATCTCTTCACTTTACATTTCTGTTGCTTGTTCTTTATCAGCTAGACACAAACCATGCAAGTCTGGAAAGAGGGACTCTCAGCTGAGGAGCTGCTTCTGTCTGACTATCTGATGGGCATACCTGTGGGGTGGAGGTGGGGTGTTTTCCTGCAGGAGGGCCCAGCCCACTGTGGGTAGTGTGAACCTGGCAGGTGGCCCTGAAGCAGGCTGAGCAAGCCATGGGGAGTGAGCCTACAAACTCATGGAAATTGAACAATGCACAATTGCACCATCCCTGGGTAAAGGAAGAAATAAAAAAGAAATTAAAGACTTCCTAGACTTCAATGAGAATGAAGACACAACATACCCAAACTTATGGGACACTCTGAAAGCAGTGCTGAGAGGAAAGTTCATAGCACTAAGTGCCCACATGAAGAAACTGGAGAACAGCCACACTAGAGAATTAATAGCATAACTGAATGCTCTAGAACACAAAGAAGCAAACTCACCCAGGAGGAGTAGATGCCAGGAAATAATCAAATTGAGGGCTGAAATCAATCAAGTGGAAACCAGGAAAACATTGCAAAGAATCAATGAAACAAAGAGTTGGTTCTTTGAGAAAGTCAACAAGATAGACAAACCTTTGTCCAAACTAACCAAAAGACAGAGAGAGATCATGCTAATTAACAAAATCAAGAAATGAAAAGGGGGGCATAACAACGGACACTGAGGAAATCCAGAGAATCATCAGGGCATACTTTGAAAACCTGTACTCCACAAAATTTGAAAATTTAAAGGAAATGAACAATTTCCTGGATAGATATCACTTGCCAAAACTAAATCAAGAACAGATAAACAATCTAAACAGACCTATAACCCCTAAGGAAATAGACGCAGTCATCAAAAGTCTCCCAACCAAAAAAAAAGCCCAGGCCCAGATGGCTTCAGTAAAGAATTCTACCAGAAATTCAAAGAAGAGCTAATTCCAATACTCCTCAAAGTGTTCCACACAATAGAAGTGGGAGGCTCACTGCCAAACTCTTTTTACAAGGCTACAATTACCTTGGTACCCAAGCCACACAAAGATACAACTAAGAAAGAAAACTATAGACCAATTTCCCTCATGAACATCGATGCAAAAATACTCAATAAAATACTAGCAAATCGGATTCAAGAACACATCAGAAAAATCATCCACCATGATCAAGTAGGCTTCATCCCAGGAATGCAGGGATGGTTCAACATTAGAAAATCTATCAATGTAATCCACCATATAAACAAACTACAAAAGAAAAACCACATGATAATCTCACTAGATGCTGAAAAAAGCTTTGGACAAAATCCAGCACCCCTTCATGATAAAGGTCCTAGAGAGATCAGGCATAACAGGAACATACCTGAATATAATAAAAGCAATATACAGTAAACCAGCAGCTAACATCAAACTAAATGGAGAGAAACTCAATGCAATCCTTCAAAAATCAGTAACAAGACAAGGCTGTCCACTCTCTCCATATCTCTTCAATATTGTACTTGAAATTCTAGGTAGAGCAATAAGATAACAAAAAGAGTTTAAGGGGATACAAATAGAAAAAGAAGTCAAGCTTTCACTATTTGCAGATATATGATAGTTTACATAAGTGACCCGAAAAACTTTGCAAGGGAACTCCTAGAGCTGATAAACACCTTCAGCAAAATGGCAGAATACAAGGTTAACTCAGAAAAATCAGTAGCCCTATTATATACAGATGATAAAGTGGCCGAGAAAGAAATCAGAGAAACAACACCCTTTACATTAGCCATAAACAGCATCAAATATCTGAGGATAACGCTAACCAAAGAAGTGAAAGATCTGTGTATCAAGAACTTTGAGTCTCTAAAGAAAGAAATCAAAGAGGATACCAGAAAATGGAAAGATCTCCCATGCTCTTGGATTGGTAGGATCAACATAATTAAAATGGCAATCTTGCCAAAAGCAATCTACATATTCAATGCAATCCCTATCAAACTTCTGGCACAATTCTTCATAGACCTTGAAAGAACAATAATCAACTTTATATGAAAAAAAGACTCAGGATAGCCAAAACAACTCTATACAATAAAGGAACTTCAGGAGGTATCACCATCCCTGACTTCAAGCTCTATTATAGAGCTATAGTCCTAAAAACAGCTTGGTATTGGCACAAAAATAGACAGGTAGACCGATGGAATCGAATTGAACACCCTGATTTTAACCTACACACATATGAACAATTGATTTTTGACAAAGAAGCTGAAATTGTACAATGGAAAAAGGAAAGCATCTTCAACAAATGGTGCTGGCATAACTGGATATTGGCATGCAGAAGAATGCAGATAGATCCATGTCTATCGCCTTGCACAAAACTTAAGTTCAAATGGATCAAAGACCTCAACACAAATCCAACCACACTGAAACTCTTAGAAGAGAAAGTGGGAGATATTCTTCAACGAATTGGTACAGGAGACTGCTTCCTCAACGTAACACCAGTAGCACAGACACTGAGCTCGACAATTAACAAATGGGATCTCCTGAAACTAAAAAGCTTCTGTAAGGCAAAGGACACAGTCAACAAGACAAAAAGACAGCCCACAGAATGGGAAACTATATTCACTAACCCCACATCTGACAGAGGGCTGATCTCCAAAATTTACAAAGAACTCAAGAAGCAAGTCTCCAAAACACCAAAGGATGCAATTAAAAAGTAGGGTACAGAACTAAATAGAGAATTCTCAGTAGAGGAGTCTAAAATGGCTGAGAGACACTTGAGAAAGTGCTCTACATCCTTAATCATCAGGGAAATGCAAATCAAAATAACTCTGAGACACCATCTTACTCCTGTCAGAATGGCTAAAATCAAAAACACGAATGACAATTTATGCTGGAGAGGATGTGGAGAGAGGGGAACACTCGTCCATTGCTGGTGGGAGTGCCAACTCGTACACACACTTTGGAAATCAGTATGGATATTCCTCAGGAAAATGGAAATCAGTCTACCACAGGACCCAGCAATTCCACTCTTAGGCATATATCCAAAAGATACAAATTCATACAACAAGGACATCTGTTCCACTATGTTCATAGCAGCATTGTTTGTAATACCCAGAACCTGGAAGCAACCTAGATGCCCCTCAACTGATGAGTGGATAGAGAAAATATGAAACATTTACACAATGGAGTACTACTCAGCGGAAAAAAATAATGGAATCTTGAAACTCACAGGCAAATGGATGGCACTAGAAGAAACCATCCTGAGTGAGGTAACCCAGTCACAAAAAGACAAACATGGTATGTACTCACTCATCATATATGGATTTTAGACATGGATCAGGATAGTTGCAGTCTGCAATGCCACTCACAGAGAGTCTGGGGAACAGGAAAGAACCTAAGAGAGATATGCATGGTACCCCAGCGAAGAGGAATGAGGCAAGATCTCCAGAAGAGATTGGCATTACGGCAGGAGGACCTTCATCCAGTGACTGATGGAAGCAGAGGCTAACACCCATAAATAAATACTTAACTGAACCCACGGAACCCAGTGACAGAGAGAGAAGAGCGATGAGCAAATCAGCAAAGAAAAGGCAGGTGAAACCAGCAGACACAGCTGATCTGAACAAGGGGGAGCTCTTGGACCCCAGACCGACAGCTGGGAGGCCAGCATGGGACTGATCCAGAACCCCTGAGTGTGAGAGTCAGTGAGAAGGCCTGGGCAACCTATGGGGCCCTGGAGAGTAGAACAGTGTTTATCCCTGACATACAAATGAACTTCGTGTGTCCATAACACAAAGAGGGATGATCTCTCAGCCTGGACTCTTAGGGGAATGCCTGGACCCTGCCCTGAGTGAAGTGACAGACTCTGGATATCCCTATGTGGAAGGAAGTGGGGATAGAGTGGGGAGGCTAGGAGGGATGGTAGGGGGTGCGGGAGGAGGGGAGGGAGAGGGAACTGGGGTTGACATGTGAAGCAAGCTATTTAAAAATTAAAGTAATTTTAAAAACCCTTGAGAAATCACTGCATGATCATGGCCTCTGTTTTGCTTATCAAAATCAGCACCGGAATTCCTAAGACCTCACTACAGTAGGAAGACCTGAGGGGTGCACACATTCTTTTGCTCTCTGAACTGCAGTATTGAAAGCCTTGGATTAATTGTCTGTAATTTTCAGTACATACTTTTCTTTGTCATAAACTATCACAAAGGCAACAGCACACAACATGGTGGAGACTCCATAGAGTTGCAGGATGAGATACCAGCTTGATAATTTTCTTTCATGAAATATTATATATTTTCATCATCAGAGTCTCAACTGGTACACTGACATAAAGCAATCACCTCGGGAGATTACCTTAGCTCTGGTCTCTATAATGGACATTTCCTGCAGCCTTAAAAAGCCTTACCTTCACCACAGAGAGGGAATTGAGAAACACTTTTTTAAACTCACCTTACTTTCGTCTATGGCTTCAGGAAAATGAGAAATGATCAGAAGTGGAAATCGCAGCTTCTCATATCATCTGGCAGCTGAAGTCTTTAAAGAAAAAGAAAGAAAAATGGATTGGAAACACAGGAACTGCCATTGGACGGCTTCAAAGGCTCTTTTTTTTTTTCCGAATGGGAAGCTGGGCTTTCACTGCTGGGATTTAACAGAACAAAGCTACACTTTGGGCCTCAATGAGTCTGATGTGCAGCTGTGGGTGGATCCCTGTGAGCTTGGGCTTGGTCTGCTCTGCCTCTCAGTATCCCATCCACGGCCATACTTCGCATCTTTAGTTCTGGAAACACTCACCCTGCCACTCCAGAGAATTCTAATTGTATTGCAGTTGAAACTCACTTAAATACCACTGGCCACGGGGAGAAAGGAAATAGATGATGTCTAATTTCTACCCAGAGTCAGGTGACCATCTGCTAGCCGCTCCATCACTGTCCTAGAGTCAGGTGACCATCTGCTAGATACTCCATCACTGTCCTAGAGTCAGGTGACCATCTGCTAGATACTCCATCACTGTCCTAGAGTCAGGTGACTGTTAAGAGAAGCTTTTTCTTTTGCTAGCCGCTTTGGTTTATCCCCGGCCAGTCACCATTATGTTAAGAGAAGCTTTTTCTTTTGCTAGCCGCTTTGGTTTATCCCCCGCCAGTCGCCTGGGCTCTGCTGCGCCAACCTGTTTCGAGAGCCGCATGAGTCCCAAATAAACACACAGGAGGCTATATTCATTATGAAGCTGTTGGCCTTGCTTGTCTCTTACTGGCTAGCTCTGCTTTAAGTAATTACCCCATAATTGTTAATCTAAGTATGTCTCTTACCGGAGAATAGTTCTGGGCTCCTACCCCCATGGCGGTTACATGTTGACTCTCCTGTGTTTCTCCTACCCAGAATCCTCCTGGATTCCTAGCCCCACCTATCTAGATTCCTATTGGCCAGACAGTGCTTTATTAGCATAAGACTTCCCCAACATCTCCTCTTTTCTGTTTAAACAAAAAGAAAGGTCTTAACTTTAACACAGTCAAATTGTATATAACAGAACAGTTATCAAATAAGAACATAGTTACAAAATATTAGCAAGATTTAAAGAAAATATCATCCATACCATCCTTGTGAGTTCAAAGTTCTATATGTAACTTATCTTTTATCATAACTAAGGAAAACTATAACTATCTGTCTTCAACTCCATCAAAGACCACAGAAGGATAATATATAAACACTAGGATTGACAGAGATATCTTACTGCCTGGACAGTCACCCGAAGTTCCTCTGTAACGTTGGGGCATCCATCTTCAGCCCATAGGCCACAATGTATCTGGAACACTTCTCAGCAAAGCAGGAAATTTCAAACTGTCCATCTGCATCAGCAGTCTGTCAGTCATTTTTCTGTGTCCTGCAGAAAGTCCCGTAGACTCATTCATGCAGCAGGAACCCTGTAAGACTTAGTTCAGCAGTCACATCCCTATGGGTCCTGCATGTCCAGATTATACAACAATAGTCAAACAGTCTAGGCAAGAGCAGTTTCTTGCCCAAATGGCTAATCTTGCCATGTTGAAAGCAAACTCCATAACAAGTTTCTTCGATGCCCATCTTCCTCTCAGACATAATTGGTGCTGCCAGGAGCAGACAATTCTCATTGTCAAGAAAAACCCTAAACCATTTTAAATGCCATGTTCTGAAGGTCTTTGAGAGGTTTGAAGACTGTCTATCTGTCTCAAATATATTTCTGTATATCTAGAATACCTAACTTATGTAACTAGAAATTCTATTATAAGTAACTATCTATAGTCTGTATTCAATTATGCATTACGTTGTAAAAGATCAGTATAAGCACAATACTTAATCAAGAGGAGAAATATAAGCATCACAAAATTGACTTTGAATTTGTATCAATAAATGAAAAACAATACCCATAACATAATTCCCCTTTTTTACCATTAAAAAGATTGGCTATGATCACTAGCCAATTATAAACAATCCCATTTAGATGAAAACAAAGATTTATAAACAAGATGGGAATTGGGACGTCGCTCATTCCAAACTGCTTCCTGCTGGAAGGGGGCGCTGTTCATACCATGGGGATCATGACAAAACTCAGAAACCTGTATCAGTCCGTATTTTCGGGGCCTGTAAAACTGCATCATCTTAGCTGTTTCAATTGTTGGAACATCTGGTCCACTGCTTCTGGGGGTCTTGGTTCGTCAAACCACAGAAGTCTGGAAGAAATCCTCAGCTTTTTATGTTCTGTGGAAACATAAGCAAAAACTCCTTTTCCGAGTAACATATCCTTATACTTAAATTTTGAAGTCAAGGCATTTTTAAAAGATAGAAGTTGGATTAATTCAGCAGCATTTATAATCAAGTGTACTTTAGCAGCAGTTCCTTCCTGAGCAAGCAAAAAACTGAAAAACACAATAGTGTACAGTATCCAGACTCTCTGTGTATTTTCCATCTTTGTGTGGCTTATTTATTTATTATTACTTTATTTCTTTCACTTTTATTTCTTTTTCTCTGAGACAGGGTTTCTCTTTGGAAACCTGCCTGCCTCTGCCTCTGGAGCAATTCCTACCGGCGTGCGCCACCACAGCCAGCTTTTGTATTTATTTACCACTTTGTCGTTTCATTTTCTCTCTCAATCTCACATATATGTTTAAACACACTGTAAACCGTTAAAGGTTTGTCTTTATCCGAGTCTGACTTTACTGTAAATCTTTATGTTTTTCTGGCCACGTGTCTTATCTGTAAAACTGCGGCTGTTTTAAACTGCCAGTTTTTTTTTTTCGTCAAGATGGCGGGCGTAAGCATGACTTCAGCTTACCGCCTCAGTCCTTGCTGACATCCAGCAAAAGCTGCCACTTCCAGCTGTACGTACACACCTTTCAAAAGTTAGCAGAGTCTCTTAAAAGGACCTTGTTGGTTTTTTTTTTTCTTTTTCTTTTTATGCCGAGTCAGGAAGACTCCAGTAAATGAGCCGCGTGAATCTCGGCTTGTTGTTAGCAAAACAGAGCACACCTGAGAAAAATGCTGCTACCAAAATCTGTGCTTCTCTCTGTTCTTCTGTTTTTAAAATTCCTTTAAATCTTCTGTTATTTTTCATGGAAATTTATGATCCCACTCCTGATCACCATTATGTTAAGAGAAGCTTTTTCTTTTGCTAGCCGCTTTGGTTTATCCCCGGCCAGTCACCATTATGTTAAGAGAAGCTTTTTCTTTTGCTAGCCGCTTTGGTTTATCCCCCGCCAGTCGCCTGGGCTCTGCTGCGCCAACCTGTTTCGAGAGCCGCATGAGTCCCAAATAAACACACAGGAGGCTATATTCATTATGAAGCTGTTGGCCTTGCTTGTCTCTTACTGGCTAGCTCTGCTTTAAGTAATTACCCCATAATTGTTAATCTAAGTATGTCTCTTACCGGAGAATAGTTCTGGGCTCCTACCCCCATGGCGGTTACATGTTGACTCTCCTGTGTTTCTCCTACCCAGAATCCTCCTGGATTCCTAGCCCCACCTATCTAGATTCCTATTGGCCAGACAGTGCTTTATTAGCATAAGACTTCCCCAACAGGTGACCATCTGCTAGATACTCCATCACTGACCTAGAGTCAGGTGACCATCTGCTAGATACTCCATCACTGTCCTAGAGTCAGGTGACCATCTGCTAGATACTCCATCACTGTCCTGCAGATGGATTTTGTGGTGAAAGGAATATTGGGCACATAAAGTGATTTTAGTTAGAAAGAGTAAATCTCTCTGTCTCTGTCTGACTCTGTCTCTGTCTCTCTCTCTCTCTGTGTGTGTGTGTGTGTGTGTGTGTGTGTACATATGCCTTATTGCACTTCCTGACTCTTCTGGAAATAGTTATTTCACTTTCATGTGTTGCTAGAAATCTAATCTCAAGAAAGGACATTTGAGACATCTGAATTTTGTTGTGAATTTATTGTCCCCTTGTGCTTCTCCCTCCAGGGGTGTTGTTCCTCAGTCTTGGTGGAGGGTTGGTTCTAGCAAAGCCTCCTCTATCACAAAGTGCTCAAACCTTCATATGGTCAAGGCTCCTTTGGAAAATGGTGTAGATTTTTCACAGAGCATAGAGATACCACCATAGATGCTAAATCATTTCAAGAGACTCATAACACACATTGTGAATACTCCATACATTTGTTCTGTTGTGCAGCTTAAAAAATGTTGACAAGATAAAAAGAACTCAAGGTATTCAGCACAGAAACAATTTTTCTTTCAGCCTGTTTACTTGAATCGAAGGATACAGAGGTATGACTGCAGACATCGTATAACATATTTAGAAGAAGAATGTCCAATGCTGTATACTATTGCTGAGAGATTTTTTAATCCCCCAAAGAAAACAGCTGACACACATTCACAAAAATAATTTAAGCTTCAGTTACAAGAAAAATAAATCCCTTGCAGAAAGATGGAAGAAACCCCTGAGAAACAAGAAATTTAAAAGACAAATTGATTCAGGGACACTGGTTTGGAAGCATTCTGTGGTTTCCACATGGCTTAGCGTGGAAGAAATGACTGAGTCAGAAGAGGATCTTGTGCGTACTAAAGCAAGCAGGATGCTTGTGGGCCGGCAGCCAGCTCTACTACCCATTACCTTCCTAAGTCCTTGTTTTTTGAATTCCTCATACTCCAAATGCCTTCTGCCCCCCACCTTCCTGCTCAGAGTGGAACACACAGGGCAGAATCCAAGCACTCTGTGGCTGCCTTCAGCGGAGGTCAGCGGTGGCTCATTGGGATACAGCTCTCTAAACTTTACATCTCACCAACTGACCTTCAGTCAGGGAACTCAGTCTTGTTGAATCCAGAGAAAAGCTATTGATTGGTGAAACAATGCCACAGCGATGAATCATCAAATGATTATTCATGAGGCACCTTTGATTTGTCTTCTACTCCTTGGGACCCTGTGGAGTACCCTTTATCTGCCCTATAACTAATGCTATTGTGGTTGGGAAGTTGCGCTGTTTAATATGTATTAGACATGAAACAATGAGCCCATCATGCAAATCAATATTTTTAATACAGAGAATGTTGCAGAGATGAAACTTTCTCTTAGACTCACAGCATAGGAAGTTCCACGAGGATATAAATTACTTAGGAGGGTTTCAATCTAAAAGGAGACTAAATGAACTGAAGGTGAATGCAGATGCATTGATGGTTAAAAAATGCACAAATCTACTGAGGCAATATTTTTGAAATGTGGTAGCAAAACAGAGTAGAAAAGCTTTTTTACGGTATCCTAGTTTGCTTTCTGTTACTGTGATAAACACTGACCAAAAGAAACTTGGGAAAGAAAGGATTTATTTGGCTTGTAGGTTGCAATCTGTCATCAAAGTACACAAGGGCAGAACTCTAAGCAGGATCTAAGGCAGAGAGTTTAGAGGAATGCTGCTTACTGGCTTGTTCACCTTGGCTTGCTCATCTTGCTCTGTAATGCAACCCATGACCATCTGCCCCAAGGTAACTATGACCACAGTGGGTTCCGCTCTCCTCCATCAGTTAGCAATCAAAAAAATGTCCCCTGGACATGTGATAGGAGAATCTAATGGAAGTTCCTTCACCTGACGTTCCCTTATGCCAGGCGTTTCTATTGGACAACCAAAAGTAGCCATCACGTATGGGAAATGAGACAGAAGGAAAATATAGGGCCATCCTGCATGCTGGGAATTTGCCTTGTTGTACTTCCTGACTCTTCTGTAGGTTCTTACAGAGATTTCTATGCATCCTACACATTTTTCTTACTTCTCATTGTATTTACTCATTTCACATTCATCGCCAAAGAAACATTTGTAGAGTGCTCGCCTTGTGCTAATGCTGTCCCCAGGGATGAAGTCAGAAGAATGAATTTTGTAGCCAAATAAGCATCAAGTCAATATTTTCCAATGACTAACTGAACAATTACTGACAGCCTTCTGCTTCCATGAGTAGCTGTACATCTACATATTCAATCAATTATGAATCGAAAACAATTTTTAAAGCTTACACTTGTACTAACTATGTGCAGAATTTGAGGAATGATTAGTTTCTAAGCCACACAGTGTAGCAGCTATTTGCATTGTGTTAGCTGTTATATGAATTGTCTAGAGGTGACTTAAGGCTTACAGGAGGCTGTGTACAGGCTCAAAACATGCTATAGTGGTTTATACAAGGACAAATAAATATCCATGTATTTTAGCATTCATCTGGGGGCCTAGAACCAATCCCCTACCAATATTGACATATGGTTTCATGTAATTTCTCAAAGCATCAATTAAACCTTATTTGTTGGTGACAAAATTGTTTGGATTGTGACAGTGTTTCGCCAGGCTTCCTTCTCCCTCATTGGTATTCCTTTATGGAATTATTCCTCTGTTTTCCATGAAGTTTTTGGATGTGTTCCCTGGAGAGTGTTTGAAATTTGGAGTCACACAGTGGCAGTATTCCCCTAGAGGCTCATGGGAGCTTCCTGATTCTTATCTGTCCTGAAGCACAGGTATTGAACTTGCCTTTGATTCCATGAACTATCCACATTTCTATACTCTCCTATATGCAATTCTTGTTTGACTATGTGAGTTAATGGGTATCAGAGTATATTGCCAATGGCTGTAGACCCTGTGAAATTCAAATGAGCTAATTTCCATGGGACAACCAGTGGAACAAACAACATGTGAATTCAGGAGTGCTATTGTCATAACATTGTTTATTAAGGTTTCATGACCTCGCCTCTCATGTTCCTTATAGCCCAGTCGATGTAGGAGGGTGAATTGGGGCATGATACAACTAGTACTTGGAGACAAAGAGATTCTTGGTGCATAGAGGAAAGGGGATTTACCCAGGCTAGGGCACTGGGGAATGATTACATTAAAGAGACATGATGCAAGATGAAGGATGACAGAAACAGAAGGACTAGAATCTGGGAGGAAAGAAACCACTGCAGAGTGGGGGAAAGGAAAGATGTTTTAACTAAGCAATGTACCTGGAGAGCTGGAAGGAAGGGTGTGTCGCACCCTGGTGGGATGGAAATAGGTTGGCTGTCACTTAAACAACCTGATACAGAATCTACAGAACTTCCTAAATTAGGCTAAGGAATTTGTAATTTACATTAAAAGCCAGGGAAAATTACAGAAGAAATATCCTGTGATGCGGAAAAAAACAAGGCCTCGTGGTTAGCTCTCCTTACAGCTGTGTACCTAGCAATTCCCTCTCCAATGCCAGCATTCATATGTGGAGATCATCAGGCTGGGTAGTCAGAAGTGCACCATCAAAACAGCAAATTCACATGGCACTCGTGGGTTGAAATCAATTATAGAAGAAACCATTATTGGCCGGTCTTTTTACAATGTGAGGGGAAGAACACAATCTTCTATAAGAAATACTATAGTGTAAGCTGCCAGCCAGTTCAGCTCTGTAACTCAGAAAACCATATACCACAGAAAGCCCCTGTAGGTCTGCAGATCCCCAGAAATATAGGGAGACACTCTGTGAGAGTGATAGCAAGGAGATGCTATATGATTTTAATCTTTAGAAATCAGACCTCCCTCACACACAAACACACACACCCAACACAGACACACACTGGCTGCCTTCCAGTGGTGCTTGTAACTTGTTCCTGTGACCACAGGAAAGGAAGTACCCCATGACTACTTCTTTGTCACCCCTAGAAGAGTAATCTCAAGGTAGCACTAATAATCCGTCGTGTACACGTGTCCTCACTTCCTCTTTCCAGAAGGGTCATAGGCTGTTGCACTGAGCAAGCCTTCATTGGCTTGTATAGTCCTTTTAAAAGTCCTAACACTTAGAAAGTAGTCACATTCTTAAGAACTGGGGCTTAGGGATTCACAATTGGGGTGCATAATTGAGTCTACAAGCATCACTACCCACGGCTCTCCTGAGACAACGCTCACCTGTTCTCCCAAGATGAAGGGTAGGAGATGTAAGACACTCATCAGCTCCTTTTGGTGCTTAATTAACAGCCAAATTAATAACAATTAACTTAAATTGAGCATTTATTATTCACTAGATAACAACTAGGCTAAGAAGCAGAATCTTAGTAGTCAATATGGCAGACTGGAGCAACCCAGGGGGATGATGTAGTAGCTACCCAGAATGATGCATCTCAGCGGGTCTGACTCTTAGGAATCTTGAACTCTTGAAATCCTACCTCCTCAAATTTTTCATTATAGGCATCTCAGGACCTCTCTATGCAGAGAGTACCCACCTTGTCTGTTAGCCCTGGCCTCTGAGAATAGAAGCCCTTTGCAGTGAACGGCAAACCAGTGAGTCCCTGCAGATGCAATGCACACCAATTCCATATTGTTTGGGGAGGAGTGCCTGCAGTCCCCAGAGAATTAGAAGAGGACCCTAAATACCACACAAGGAGGAAGGACTACCAATGCATTCCTTGTGTCTGCCAGATTAGTGGCAGAAACAATGACTTTAGAATAGGGGTCATTTGGGGGA